CAGTTTCAGAGAAACATTGCAGGGTTAATCCAGCCTCTAGTGGCTGTCTTCCTGACAGCCGCTAGAGGAGCTTCTGTGACACTGGATGTGAAATTTGCATCCAGCATGCAGAGCGTCCATAGGAAAGCATTGAGAAATGCTTTCCTATGGACTGTTTGAATGGGCGCGCGGCTCTGGCCGCGCATTCCGCTCCACTCAGGAGCTGAAGTCGGCGGGGGGAGGAGACCTCGCAAGCGCCGATGGAGCCCGGCGCTAGATTAAAGTAAGTAACTGAAGGGGTCCTAAGGATGATATAATGTGAGGAAAGCAAGTTTGTTTTCCTGACACTATAGTGATCCTTTAACAACTTGTGTTCTTTGCCTATGTTATGGTGCACGTAGGTCCCTTGCCACTCTTTGTTGCTGCCACTGTCTGTACAGTATTCATTGGACTTGATAAGTCATTCTGTTATTTAACAGCACTTTCAGGTTTACTTGCAGTGAGTTTTTTTTTTTTTTTTTTCTCTTTTTCATGTTTGAGTTCTAATGTACTAGGCCCCTTTTAGGAGTTAAATGAAATTTGTTCTCTAACACGCTGAATGACTTCTTTCTTCCTGAATATTTTTCTAATCACTCAGTTGTTATTCTTTTCAACAATGAAAATAAGCTATAATAACAATGTTGGCTAATCATGATCCAGTAAACATTCCTAACATTTTGTTGACCTGCATTGAGCAGAGACTGATTTATAATTAGGCAGAGTACCACCCCAGCTGCCCGCAGTACCCAAATCAAGCCTGTTGGGAGTATATGCAGAGATCTCTGTTGTGTCCGAAGGAGAGGTGATTTCTACGTGGCCTTGCTCCGTCAGAGGAGGAGGAGGAGAAAGAAGAAAAAAAAATAAAAAAAAATATATATATATATATATATATATATATATATATATTTGCATTTCAAAAAATTGTGTGTATATTTATTCATTTTGAAGGTTCCTTTAATACATCAAAACTTACTTTATTATGCATTCATTAAAATTACTTCGATATTGGTTCGTAATCTAATGTAACAAAACACATTCATGTTTTGGCTGCAGGGAATATTACATAAATGGAGATCTATGTAAATAACATGGGGGTTGGAAGCAATTGTAAGATTTCTTGGATTCCTAATGCTCAGGGTTTAAACCCTGTTTTACTACAATTCTTGCAGTTTTGACAGATTTTAAGATTACTGCATATTGTGTACAAGGCAGCACTGTTATCAGCCAATCACGCGGCATGTCAGCTCCCCATATTAAAAACAAAGAGGTACTTCATAGAGGTCCATATACTTAGGCTATGCTTCTCTGCAATGATATTCCTCAGCTCAACCAGCTGTTCTGTATTTTACCCCTATAAATAAGACAACAAATAATGTTCCCTAACATAACTGCTTAATCCAAGGAGCCAAGGCAGAAATTGTTAGCCAATGAACATTGAGTTACTTTGTCTTAAGAAAGCTATAATAAATAGTTTCTAGCAAGCAACTGTGATTTATAAAGCACAGCAATACACATACTGTTAAGCAGGTTTGTTTGTATTTGGTTTCCACTAAACCTTCTCCTCCCTTCTCATTTATATAACGTTTGATTTAAAAGGTATTGCATGTTTTTCCTTCAGCAGGCTCTGTGGCCGGTAAGTAGTCTATAAAACTCCCTGTTGATGCTCTAATTTATATCAGTTTGGACTATGAGCAGAGAAATATCTGAACTGCTGCACACTATGCAAGTGAATATTGCCGTTCGAGCAGTGAAACTGTAGCCCATGGATCAGCGCAGCTAAGAGGAATAGGCCTTGACAGAGCCAGGAGGTAGGCATAGCAGCCACAGGAATTTAGTGACAGCTAGCATGCTGGGTAGGGCGGAGCCATAAGGGGAGTATTTATACCAGCCATTATATGAAGTGGCCATTTTAACTGAACCTAAGCTTACCTGTCAGTTGTGAAAGCTGCCTGCCCTGGAGGGAGAAGGCAGCAGCATAGCAGAACAGGCAGCATGGAGGCAGCATGAAGAACAGGCAGGACTGAGACAGGAGGCAGCATGGAGAGGCTGGAGTGAGCTGCTACTACATGATCACTCCCATCAGCAGCATGGAGAACAGGCAGTACTGAGACAGGAGACAGCATGGAGGTACAGGAGAGGCTGGAGTGAGCTGCTGCTACTGCATGCTCACTCCCATCTGCAGCATGGAGGCAGCATAGAAGAACAGAGGCAGCATGGAGGTACAGGAGACAGCATGGAGGTACAGGAGAGGCTGGAGTGAGCTGCTGCTGCTGCATGCTCACTCCCATCAGCCTCAGACAGAACTCCAAGCAAGCCACCATCCTGGTCACAAAGTTTGTGGCAGAATCGGGGCTGGTGCCTGCAGGAGCAGCTGGGGGGCCCCGAGCACGTCTGCTACCCCCCACGCGGCGGTGGAACAGAGGCCAGCAAGGAGAGCGAGGACGCCCCAGCGGCAGCCTGTGAGTGACATCGTTAGTTCGGCAGCCCGTGAGCCTGTCAGGAGGCGGCAAGGGGAAGGCTGAGAATGAGGTCGGAAAGCAGGCAGGAGTTGGAGGGCGGCTGGCGCCGTATGTTCGACGCGGCGCCGGTCAGGCAAGACGGCAGGTCAGGATGAGGCCGCACAGGAAGAGCGCCCCCTGCAGTAAGGCGGGGGGGGCGGGAAAGCACAAAGGACGGCGGAATCCAGCAGGACATGATGGCCGCCAGGCAGGGAGAGCGGCAAGAGGCGTCCTGGTGAGTCTGCCCCTGGTGGCATACCTGAGTGACAGGGGGAATGATGCAAGGGCCCAGCAGTGTAAAAGCGGTCCCCCCCCCCAATGGGCAGGCGGGGGGGGTCCAGGTCGGCGGGACACAGACGGAGGCGGCCCTGGATGGGGCCAGGGTCAGGTCAGAGGTGAAGGAAGGGGATAGTGAAAGCAGCAGGCGGAGTCTTCACAGGCACAGCAGAGCAGCTATGGAGAGGAAGGCCAGCAACCAGGATTAAAGGGGCCACAAGTGGATGAGGCGGCCTGGGAGAGGCCAGGTACTGCAAGCAGAGGGCAGAAGAGAGGACATGGACGGGTGGAAATGGACGTAAGGCACAGAGGCAAGCGGGAGCCCCCTGGGGGGTGTTCTCAGGAGCAGGAACACAGGAGGAGCATCAGCAGGTGTGAGTACGGCAGGGAGCAGCGCAACGACAATGACAGGCACAGCAGCAGTGGGAGGTCGGATGAGGGATGGAGAAGCAGGTCGAGGAGTGTTACTTCTACGGGCTTGAGGCTGGACCAGCGCGGACAGGAGTCGGCATCCACTGGATACTCCAGAGCCTGGCAAGGTGGATGGAAGGACAGCGCAGACGGAGGTTCGGGCGGTGAGTCAATAAACACACCACACTTTTTTAAATTGCATAAATCATTTTAGAGTCATGATCAAGGAAAAAAGGGGCCGTCCCCGCAGTGCCGAAGGGTGGGGTCACCAGAGCGCAGTCGGGAGGCCGAAGTAAGGGTGGTGGTGACGGCGTGCCGGGTAAGGGAAGGGGAATACGGTGTACCGGTACCGGGGACATCTGACGGGGCAGGAGAACAGTTAGATGTGTGGCAATATTCCAGGCGTGGCGCAACAAAATGGGCACGTGTCCTTCGCGGGGACATTGGGGGGCACTTGAAGGTGGAGGATAAGATTTGACATAGGGGATGTAAAAAAAAAAAATATGTCATCTGCTCGAGGAGTTCATTGAGTTAAAAGGGGTGGTTCCAAATGATAGTGCAGGAAATGCGCTCTTTCCGGGGGCTGACGGCGCACCCCCAGGAGGTGCTGTGCTGGCTGGACAGAAGACAGGTCAGTACAACTGGGGACCGTCGGGTAGGCTTCGATACGGGTGTTCCGGAGGCGGTGGGAGTCACGGTGTCAACTGACGCGTCAAAAAAGGAAAACCTAAGGCAGGAAGGGTACTCGGCAGGGCTTCAGCCCCGCGGTTGCGGCTCGGAGCGGCACCAGTGATGATCAGTGCATTGCTGCTGTGGCTAAGGCAGTAAGCCTCCCATGAATGCACTAGTTTTATGGCTGAGATTGTTGAGGGGGTTTACGCTATTCCATTCAAAGTCGAGGGACCAGGAAAAGTGGTGGACGAATATCAAGTCCATGGGGGAACTTCCGCGCCATTAGCGGACCTGTGGGTGTCTCCATGGGGGGTGGTCCCCTAGAAATGGGCGGGCAAATTCTGTCCAATACAAAACTTATCGCACCCAAAAGGGGCATCGGTAAATGAGGACATCGCCGCGGAACTGTTCTGTATCGTTGGCATCATTCGGCCTTGCCGTCGAGTTGGTTTGGGGGAACAGGACGCGTTTGATTATTGGCGACCCTTCCATCTTTTGGGTTGCATGTGTGCAGGTTCCTATTGGTAACCTCTACTTGCCAAGGGGCAGTTCCATTCATGTTCCTACTCGGGAAGTTGGATCCGTCTGGGAGTGGGAGGTGAAAAAGGAATCAGAAAGGGGTTCCTTAGTACATTATCTGTAAGATAGCTTGCTGTGTGGGCTCGGCTGGGCCGGGCCGTTGTGGACATACCTTACGGTCACGGGAATCCTACCGCACGTCTTTGCTTGGACTGGAAATTGTTTCGGTGGTAGGAGAGTGTCGATTGCCTGGGGTTCAGTTGACTGCACTTCGGGAGTTCAGGCTGAAGGTTCGCAGGTCCAAGAAGGTCACTGAGAAATCGCAGTTGTTCATAAGGCAGTTTCAAGTTGCATGTCGGGTTAGGACTGGGTCGGTAGCCATTTCATGGCGAAGGCTACTTGTGGAGCCTTTGCGGGTGGTATCGAGTTGTTCACAGATACCTCTGGGAACATAGATTCCGGGGCATACCTGGAAGGCAGGTGGTGCGCAGAGCGGTGGTGGGAGGCATGACAGGTAAGTCCTCTTATTCGACGTTGGCATCTTTTGAGTTATTTCAATTGGGAGTGGCTGTGGCTCTAAAAGGTGAAGGATTAAGGGATGAAAATTCATAATTCACGCACAATACGACGGGGTTCGTGTGGTTTACCATCCAGCCGGGTCCTCGGTTCAGGAGGTACGCCGATGGCGGCGATTCGTATCACTGTTCAGGTATCGGGTGCAGGCACGCCACGTGCCTGGTTGGCGGAAGGTAGGGGCTGGTTACTTGGCTCGCGCACAAGGGGACAAGCTGCGAATGGCGGCCCCAGGGGGCGCGGGAGGAGGGACTGTCCAGTCTGGAGGAAATGTGGCAGCTCGAGACGCCATGCTTGGAGGATCGATACAGAATCCTATGGCACCGGGCACAGGGACTGCCTATGTGAACTTGAGATATGTGGGACAAGGCGGTTGGTTTCACTGTGGGGGCCCAGTCAAAGGAGGGGCGAAGGGATACCTTGCTGTGGTTCCTAAGCCGTTTGTTTGTTCAGCGTTAGCTCCATCAGCAATGGACAGGAGCATGGTGGCATTGTCGTTAGGGTTTAAACTGACTGATTGGGAGGAAGTGACGGAACGTTGTCACGTCCGTCAGGCATCGCGGGTCTTACGGAGAGATATGAAATATGTCGGTGCCGGGCGGCGGGTTTCCTTGGGTAACGCAACGCCTGGTGGTGTATTACCCTACTTTTGCAGTGAGTTTGCTTGCGGTGGCCTTCTCGGAGGCTTGGGGTAATTTGGATTGGGGAACTGGTGAGTGCCTTCGGGCAGGTGTTGGGGAGTTCTATACTTGGTTGTCGAACCTTAGTCGGTTAAGGTAACGATTCAGTAGGGTTGTTCAAGAACGAATGTGTCTGGTAAAGGAGGTTTGGTAAAGCTATATTCCCTGCCGGGGTCAGGGGTACGCCCGGTGTTAAGCGCATCATGCTACTTGGAGCTTTGCCCGGACATCCCGGGTGGCTTACTGGTAAAAGGGGACAGATCGGTGCTGTCACGATTCAATTCCCGCAGGTGTTTGTTCGAAGGGGTTTGACAATGTTGGGTTTGGATCCCGGGCACTTTGGGACCCATTCTTCCCAGGTGATGGCGGTAACAGAGGCACCCCACCTGGTTTTAAGTGAGGACCTAGGGAAACGTTTAGGCAGGTGGGAGTCAGTACGGTTTAAGTCCTGTTTCAGGCCAGTCTATTTGGTTTAATGGCTATGGACGTATGGGTTTGTGTTTGGGGCTATGCCTTGTCGCTAATTACTTTTGTTTCAGGTTTGGTGACATGGTTGGCGGGTCGTTCTTATATCTAAGGGGCACAGATGGGAGCCGCGTTTCAGTTCAAACGTAACTGGGCTTTCCTTTGAAATTGGTGGAGCAGGAGTGGTTTTGTTTTTCAGGGATTTTGGTGGCAAGACATTAGGGGAGAAATTTTTCCAGGAGGTAACAAGGGGTACTTTCCAGGACATTCTGGATATTGGCATGGTCCCGGAAAAGGAATTGATCAGGTGGAGGCAGAGGGAGGTGGACCAGCTATGGGAGCTGGCCACGGGTGTGGTGGTGGTGCGGTCCGAGATGGTTCCTTGGTTACATTGGAGACATACTACGTACCCGGCCGTGGTAGCTCGGTGTCGAGGACGACTTAATAAAAAATTGGCGGTATTTATCAGATGTGGGGGCGGTGTAACAGTGAGACACAACAAATTGGGAGGAAAGCTCCCTGGGTACTCCAGGTGGGATGGGGTACATTTTCGGATGTAAGGTGTGATCTGTTTAAATTGGGCCTTCAGGAAGGCATTCATCAGGCCTTATTCCGGTGTGGTGGGGGTCGCTCAGGAGCTTTAGGTGTCAAGTCCTGAGCTGTGGCGGGGAATGGCCTGGTTAAATCGGAGGGTAGATGGAGGAGAAAGTGGGCATCCTGAGGTTTAGTGTGGATTGGGCAGTGTTGCACGTGGTTGGTAGGTTCGAGCCCGTCGGTGGCTCCGAACCTGGGGGTGTGGTGGTGTCTTGGTACACCCTACACTGGAACTGGTGGGTAGCGGTGTCTTGGTACACCCCTACAATGGATATGGTGGGTAGCGGTGTCTTGGTACACCCCTACAATGGATATGGTGGGTAGCGGTGTCTTGGTACACCCCTACAATGGATATGGTGGGTAGCGGTGTCTCGGTACACCCCTACAATTTAACCTGGTGGAAATGTGGTCAAATTGGACGGCCAGTTTCTGTGTTAACATGTTATTTATATTGTTATCTATTGTTATTATTGTGGGGTCATTGCTAGGGGTATGTTATGTATATGGGGGAGGTTAACATTATTAAGATTTCTTGGCAATGACCCCATTTGTTATTCCTTAATTATTTATTAATAATTGAATAAAGCTGTGGACAAATTATTTCCAACAGTATAACCTGTGTCCGTGTTTTAATGGGGGTTGGGGTAAGGTTAGCGCATATGCCGGCAAATCCGACTGTGCGCCTGTCAAGTAGGCACAAACATTCTTTAATTCCGCCTCTACTTAGTAATACTAGTTTAAAAAAAAAAAAAACATAAACAAACAAAAAGAAAATCACCAGCTAGCATTCCGATTTACAGGGTGATGTCTATCATACCAATAGTAAAATAGGTTTGGCAAAAATGAAAAAATGAAATAGATGCAGGCTGCTCTATTCTTTACTGGCCGGAGACCGTTTGTGGCCTCATTGAAACAACTGTCTGAGAGTTCACCTGCCTGTAAAACAAAGCTACAAGCTTCTGGGATGGGAATCTGCATTCTCTTCACATACTGGCTTTGCTACTGCATTCCTCCCTTTCATGGAATTCAAAAAATGGCCCTCCTTTTGCTTTAAAGCACAGATGCATGTCAACAGAAGACACAACCATACACGCATTGCTTGGAAATCTCACTGCAAGATTTGCATTATCCGGTAGGGACAGGAGTGGAGAAACTGTACACTGTAATACTTAGAAATTCCTTGTAAAATTCCTCACACTGGGCATTGTGTGTAGACATACCTCCCAAGTGTCCCTAATTAGGAGGGTAAGTCCCTAATGTGGACGCAAATTTGTCTTTTCTATCCCACCGTCCCTTTTTTCTAGCAACTTCATATTATTTGAGTCTATAATATAGCTCCACAGCAATAATATGCACAGTAATGCATCATTAAACTACAATAAGTGTGTTTAGAAATCAGTCTGTGTGAATACATTATGTTCGTAAGAACATTTTAGTAGCATTCCTAACACTATAGTGCCCTCTGGTCTCTCTCACTCGCAGTCCCAACAGCGCATAAAAGGTTAAATAAAACCAAACTTTTATTCACTTACCCGATTCTAGTTCAGGCGTCCATCGGCGCTGGCTTGTGGTCTGCCTAATGCAACGTCATCCGATAGGGGGACCTTATGCTCATGCGTGGCGAGCACAGGACGCACATTAGGCCTTTCCCTTAGAAATGCATTGCTCTCCCTTTGCCAGCCAAATAGTTTACATAGTCTATGCCAGGTAGGAGACATATTTATTTTTAAATAGGTTTTTTCCCCCCAATCTATGCATTTGCTAGTGCAATATATAGATGTAAATTTTAAGCTCTTTCAAAATAGCATAAGTAGTTTGGGGCATGACCAGTACCTTTTTAATGTTTAATATAGATCAATATATAGTCACTATAGATATAGTTGAACCAATCTGGTTCATTCAGTGATTTCACAGATGTACTCTCATATCAAAGTGGATTAATCCTCTTTATAGAACATTATTTGAACCGTGCAGAATTGTTTTTTATTGCAAATGACTAGGAAGCAAATTATCTGAAAAGTACAGAGAAATGTTTGCTATATCATTGCTTAAAATGTAGGAAAGTTCAGATTTTTTTGCACTTTGAAATCTTTTTTTCCCCAATGACTTCAATCTCTGATCTCAAGGTCAACGCAAGAGCACCTGTAGGATAATGTTACAGTAAGCTGGGTAAGAAACCTCAGCTGTGACTCGAGTGCCCTTGGAGACTATTCACATTTCACTAGCTCTCCAGTGGTTTTTACAGATTGTACTGGATTCATCTTTCAAAGTCATTAGTACTATAAGTTTAGACATTATTCTGAATTAACATCAACAATCAATACATTTAACAGTTCTATGGTAGTTATATAATTTTATTTAAACTTAAACGGAAGGAATACAAACTGGGCCATTATATGTATATTTCAATCTGTCAATTTGCTGACCGTTGCCTATCACAGAGCAGAAATTCTGTACACATAGGGAACCATCAGCCCTAGAGAGTATGCGTCTTCTTCTAAATAAAAAGCTAAAAGGATAAATAGGGAAAATTTCCAAAGACCAAAAGCTTGCTCATCTTTGCACACGGGGCGTTTTGTCTCAGTAGTGATTCATTTTTTCATTTTATGAAAGAAATGCTTCTGTGCTTCACACTCAGTGTGGGAGTATCACGCAGTACAGTGCTAGAAGACCTTTAAATCAAAGACAAGCTTGCCCTTAAAGCGGCTCTGTTAAACTATACTTACCTTGCTTGAAATCTGTTCCTTTTCTCTTTCTTACTCTTAAACTGTTCTTTTCTTCGGCAACCTTATGTGCTTTAGGTGTTTGGAGTTTTTCATAAAAATAAATGAAACTTTTTTTTATATAATTGCATAATGGCTTTTAAGTCTTTTTTTTTTCTTTCTTTTTTTCAAGTTTTAGTTATGCTAAAAGTGAAGAAGTGACAGTTCCTATTTAAAGGGACACTATAGGCATTAGCACAATTTTAGCTTAAAGGATCACTATAGTGTCAGAAAAACAAACTTGTTTTCCTCACACTATATCATCCTTAGGACTCCCCCAGCCTCAAGGCCCCCTCCTTTGGAGCTAAAGAGGTTAAAAGCCCTTCAGCTTCTTACCTTAATCCATCGCCGGGCTCTGTGACCTCTCCTCCCCCGCCGACGTCAGTTCCCGAGTGGAGTGGAATGCGCATGTGCGGTAAGAGCTCGCACATTCAAACAGTCCATAGGAAAGCATTTCTCAATGCTTTCCTATGGACGTTCAGCATGCTGGATGCAAATTTCGCATCCAGCGTCACAGTAGCGCCTCTAGCGGCTGTCAGGAAGACAGCCTCTAGAGGCTGGATTAACCCTGCAATGTAAACATAGCAGTTTCTCTGAAACTGCTATGTTTACATCTGAAGGGTTAAAACCTGGGGAACCTGGCACCCAGACCTCTTCATTGAGCTGCAGTGGTCTGGGTGACTATAGTGTCCCTTTAATGAAGCAGCTTAAAGTGTATAGATCATGCATGCGCATACTGATTTATCAATTCTCTGTAATTTAGG